AGGTGGGAGCTGCCATCAGTGTAACCAGGCTTTGGGAGCTGCAGTGAATTATCTGACTATTAAGAAGAGCGTTGGGATCACCTGAGAGAAACAGTGCTCTTGAACCAAAGCTGAAGGATTTGTTCAGCATTAAATGAGTTTCAGAAATGCTCTGTCTGCTTCAGTGCAATTAGAAGTCATGCAGTGAAGCTGATACCCTCCACCTTGTCACATTAAGAGGTGCTGTTAGTTCTCGTCTTGTGTTTGAAAGGTCTCTTTGATTCCCAGTGGAAAGGTGCAGTACACAATTCCCTCTAGATTAAGCAGTTTGCAGGTGCCCTTTCATAATCTGAGAGGTTAGATTGGCTTTTTGAAAGTATCCCATCTTTATTTGAATGTTCTTTCAGTTGAAGACAAATAAATGGGTTCTCCCCTTGGTTCCCAAGTGAATTGCTGTCAGTTTCTAAGTTCTTCCCTTAATATTACTCTAATTTTTCAGATCAGCTTTGGTTTTGTCTACCTCTGTAGGCGTACCCATTGAGTGAGGAAGCAGCTTTTCTATGTGAAGAAATGTGACTAAGAACTGACTGCTGTTCCAAAGAAATGCAAATGATGAAGCTTATTTTGTGTGTCGCTCTGTGCCAGCACCTGGTGTGGAGTGACACAAAAATCCAACAACCCCAAAACACCAAACACACGCTTGTGAATGAAAATCATAAGTGTCCAGGTCAGATGGGGCTTGGAGCAACCTGGTCTAGTGGAAGCGGCCCTGCCCATGGCAGGGGGAGTGGAACTGGATGAGCCTTAAGGTCCCTTCCAACCCAAAGCATTCCATGGTTCTAAACTACCCAGTCTGATTTTTATGCTGGGATTGGTCTTTATCATTTAAGGTAGGCAACAACTCTGCTTTGTAGCTGTGAACTGTATATATGCACTTCAAGTCACTAACTTAACCAAACCTATAGACATCTACAGAGGACTTTTAATATAGCCAAAGATATAGTAAATTACCAGTAGATATGTCTGAAATACATCATAGCCTGTACTAGAGACAGATGGTGGAGCAGAATCCTGCTTTAGTGATTAACTGAGGTTGGAAATCATTTCCTTGCATTGCAAGCCAGTGTCTTGAGCAGGCAGCCCAGTGCTGTGGATCCCTGCTCAAGCAGATCCCCACACAGTTGCTTCTGAGCAGCCTTGAAGGGACCAGGATCTCCAAATTCTCCAAGCAGCAACAAAGCAGGGCTTAGCAGGTCAGAATTGATCTATTGAGGCCCATCTTACATAAACATCTGAGTTAACTGTCATGTGCTGGGGGATAAGAGATTCTTTGTGCTGCGGCGATACTGTTACTAAGGCAATAACCTTTATGCTAGATCCTTGCAATTAAAACGTTAATGCAGGATGAGGCCAGCATAGAAAGACAGTTATAATACTGTAGGAATTCAGGAGGGAAATTGCTTCATAAACCAGGTTACTCTCAAGAAGAGTGTTTTGAATTTGCCTTAATCCTTTTGCAGAAAATATGCTGGCAGCTCTTTAATGTAGATGGTTTTATAACCACTGCAGAACTTTAAACATAAACCAGCAACATTTTAATCATGGAATGGTTTGTGTTGGAAGGGATTTTAAAGCTCATCCTGCTCCAACTCCCTGCCACAGGCAGGGACACCTACTAGAGCAGCTTGCTCCAAGCCCCTGTGTCCAACCTGGCCTTGAGCACTGCCAGGGATGGGGCAGCCACAGCTTCTCTGGGCACCCTGTGCCAGCGCCTCAGCACCCTCACAGGGAAGAGCTTCTGCCTAAGAGCTCATTTCAGTCTCCCCTGTGGCAGTTTCAAGCCATTCCCCTTGGCCTGTCCCTCCAGGCCCTTGTCCCAAGCCCCTCTCCAGGTTTCCTGGAGCCCCTTTAGACACTGGAGCTGCTCTAAGGTCTCCCCTTAAGGAGCTTTCTTCAGGCTGAACCAGCCCAGCTCTCTCAGCTTGGAGGGGGTCCTTCAGCCCTGATTAACCCACATCTGATTATTCTGTCAGTGTTTTTTAATGTGAGGCCCAAGGAAGGATTTCAAGCTCTGAAGTGCCTTCGAGAGTTAATAAAGCCAAGGAGAATGAATTGCTGAAAAGCCTAGAAGTGAAAAGAAATAAGCTATATCTGTGAGACCCCTTATTATCTGTGTTCAGATCCTGAATGCTCGTCTCTGTTGGGAGCTGTGAGGTAATGTAGCTCTCTGCCAAAGCAAGCCTGCCCTTCCCGTGCACGGCTGGAGGCAAGGACCCACTGTGGGAGGGCAAGTAGAGGCTTGGAGTAGGATGCAATCCCCTCTTCTCACAGGGTTTTAGAGCAAAAATGACATGTGCCATTAAAAGCTAAAGCTGGTGAGCACTGTAAGTAGTCCTTTGTGTGGAAATGGGAGGAAAATCATCAGAATTAACCTATTTCACACAATTTTGAAGTCATCAGCTTCTTAGTTGCTACTGAATGTAGTTATGTCAACAGAGATGGAAGAAGTCCTGTTCAAAAGGGGCAGGAAATCACATTCTTCCCACAAATGCAGCTGAAGAAAGAGGAGAGCAGAAGGTGCCTGCCTGATTACAGCCCAGTTGCCATCTGTTCTCAGGTGACTCTGGTGGTGTCCTGTTTGTATGCTTATCCAGCTTGGGGTTTAAAACAGTTACGACTCTTCTTCTATAGCTTCTGCTGAAAAGCGGCTTGTTTCTATTGGCATCTCCAATTTATTCATGGTCAACTTATGCCATTCAGTTCTTGCCCCCTTATCCTAAATAGCTTTTCTCCCTCCATAGTGTTATTTAGCAACCTTAAACTGCTCAATCTTCTTTTTGCAAAGATAAGCACATAAAATATTCTCTATGCTCAGAAGGGAAGCGTTTCCACATCATTTCTGTTTTGAAATCGTCTGTCTTGGGCTTCATTTCTGGTATGTCAAATGAAATCTGACTAATGCTTTGATGCAGCAGTGCTCATGTTAGTAATAGCCATATGGGGTGAGTGGCTGGGAGTTATTGCGTGCGTTAGTACTAAAGTAAGTTCTCTCCATCTCTGTCACTTGCAGTTGATGCCCGCAGTCAGTAGAAGGTGGGCATCAAAGAAATGAGTTTTATTTCTCTCTTAGATCCTTCTGCATTTCTTTATTAGGTAATCTTTGTGAAGGTTGGTCTTTAAGCCAGTTCTTGAGAAACTGTTAGTAAGCTTCCTTGGTGGTGGGAAGTATGATGAAATCTCTTCTTTAGCTGGTTCTTTATGTGTTTCAGTTCTTACACTACTCTCTGCTTAGCAGTAACATCCTATTCAGCATCAGAAAATGCTTTGCTGTGCACACACTTCTCTGATTTGTCAGTCAAAAGGAGAAGGAAATCAGTGTTTCTGTCATGGGCTACCTTTTGGTAACCTTGTGTTTTCTTTTTAATTCTCTTTATTCTCATATTTAAGCATACTCAGATTTTACAAACATTTGAAGGTTGTATTTTCCATGCTGTCGAACATCCTGTTATCTGATGCCCTGTTTATTCCTACTTCAAGTCTATAATAGTCCATATAATATATTAGGGAGCCTGTCTGTGATCACTGGAGCAAAAGTACTCATTAAGCAGGCTAAATTTAGATACTTTATATAAGAAAGTTTGCAAAAGTAATAGAATAGAGGTATGAGTAATGTCTTTAGGTGAAATAAGGAGCTTGTCTGGTTGAAGCTTTAGGATCACGCTGGGGAGGAATTGTTCTGGGTGATAAATGAATTTGTCCCTTTAGAAATGGAGTGGGATGGGATGGCACATGGCGTGTATGGTGGCGAGGAAAGGTCAGTCCTTGTTTATGGAGCATCACCTTCCTTCTGGTCTGCTGGAGAAGAGAGAAGGTGGCACTTTTTTGCTTGGGAATGTCATTTTGGCCTAAAACCTTGGGGGAGGCAAGACTGGAAGTTAAAGTAGTATCTGAAAAACGGGTTTTGGAAGCTTTTACATGCTCAATACCTGACCTATTAACAAAGAACTTGATTTCTTTGAGCTTGGCATCCTAGTCTGAATATATGGTTCCTTTTTCTTAAAAGCCAAGATACATTTGGTCAAACTTACGAATTATTCCAACCATTAAATACAAACCTGCTGAAGTAAGAGAAGGTTTCTGTGTGAGTGATTGGGATGCTAGACAATTACCTCAGAGAGCACCAAAAAATGTTTAATAACTGTGTAATGACAAACTTACTAGTTTTGTCCCATTGGGATGGGAATTCCTGCATGCTCCTGTGGTGGTAGCATCAGGAAGAGATTTGTCTATTGAGAAATGGTGTATTTTAGCTGTCAGGCTTGGCTGTTACTTGAGGAGGGGGGTGGATTACCAGCTGAGTCTGAGCTCATAGAGGTCTTCATCCAAAGAAAAACCAACCAAAACCTAAACCACCACCCAACCTATCCACCAGACTTTCTTTTCTTATCAGAGAATGGTTTAGTATTCTTGTGAATTTGGAGGCTGAATAGCGGGCTTGTTTGCCTGGGAGCCTGCTTAGCAGTTAAGAATAGTTCTTTATCTATCCCATTAAGACTGTATTATTACACAGAAAAGTGGGTGGTATCCAGTTTTACCCTGCTGTTGGCCAACTCCCAGCAAATCCCTACTGATGTTGGAAGATGGAACACCAACAAATGTTTTCTTGAAGGATGAATTCTATGGTTAAGTCAGTGTGTTGTCTCTTGAAGCTCTGATAACGCTGAGACAGGGTATGCAGCATTCATTGGTGGTACTTCTTGATGTTGCAGCCTCACTAGCACAAAAAGCCTTTGTTTTCCAGGAGCATTGAGCCATCATGGAAAGTTTTCCCAGATTAATTGTTCTGGTTTGTTAATCTCACCCTTGGAGCTTTATCTCTGGTGGTTGAGGGAGCTCATGGTGCTGGGGACCTTTGAGAAGGTTCTGTGGGAATGGGATGCTCTGCTCCGCGAAATAATCCAACCTGTTGTATCTTTGTGGTATCTGGTGTGTTAAATACGCTGGCTTTTGTCTCCCAACAGCTACATCCCCTCGAGTCTCCTCAGAGCTCGAGCAGGCCCGGCCTCAGACAAGTGGAGAAGAGGAGCTCCAACTGCAGCTGGCTCTGGCCATGAGCCGGGAAGTGGCGGAGCAGGTCAGTGCCCGTGTAGGTTTCCAAAGTGTCCGTGCTTTTCTAGTTGAACTGCAGTGCTGTTTTTCTCAATGGCAGCTTGGCTTTGCTCCAGGTGGAATAGGGGGAGAGGAAAAAAAAAAAGCCATTTTGGAAGATGTTACTCTTTTGTGTTCTTTTGAAATCTCTTTTTAAAGTAACTTCTGCCTCCGAGCTGTTGAGACTAGTGGAAGATGACAGTCACTTTGCGAGAAGACTTTGTGTGGGAGGATGTTAATCATCACATTACTGAAGATGCTTTCAGTTAGGAAGAACTGAAAACATGACTAGTCCTGAAAACCTTCATTAATGGGGCCAGCATAAGGAATGTCAGTGAATTCTGATTAGAATGAGATTTTGAACAATCTGTTCGTTCGCTAAGATTGGAACAGAAAGGTGACAAAAAGTACTAAAGTACATAAAGAACCTGATTTAAAGTAACTTAGCTCCTCATCTATCAGGATATATAGGTATCAGTAACATAATATGGGTTATGTTACTGTGTTAATTCTTAAGAGGTTCATTCTGAAGTTTGGAATAAATGCTGGAATCGTGGGTAAAATGTACTGCATGTTAATACATATAACAAAGTTGTTGAATCTCAGCTGTGAGTGAAGATTCAAGCTGGCTATGCTGAGTATCTGTGATATTTTAGTCTTCCTGTGACAACTTTAGCTTACTGCTGTGTGTTGAGGGTTAGTACCTCTGTGCTTGGAAACTATCACCCAGTAAACTTTGTCATTGTGGAGCAATAAAGAGCATAAAAATCAGAACCTGATCAGTTGAAATAGCTTAACGTAATCGCAAGGGAAATACCAAGTGGGGAATTAGTCAACTTCTGAGAGCTGTGATGCAAACCAAGACATTTAAAGTGGTTGAATGTGCCCCAAACGTGGTAATTGACAGATGTTTAAAACCTACTGGTTTGAATTCATTTAGTGATCTTTTGTAACTGTTGCTTCAGGTGTGGAGGGAAGCTGACAAAAGCCAGGAAGATTGAAGTGTAAATCCCTGTGTCCTTCAGTGGTGATTCGAATGCTTAGAAACATCACAGTTTAGAGATGGGATATTTACTTTAAGTTCTGTGGTGCTCCTAGCATTCCAACCCTAACCTATAATTCTAAGAACATTCAAGTTACAGCTTTCCCATTAGGTGTAAAACAATACAAGGGTGAACTTCAGTCAGCCAAATGGTTGTGATCACACTACTATGGTGGTGTTACAGGGTCAGCGTGCTCCTGACCTCTGCTTGAGCAGGAATCACAAATTCCACTCCCCCATTTGTGTTATGTCCAAGTTAGAACAAAGATTCCCAGTGATCCCACTGTGCGTGCCTGCGCTCCGAGGGTGGCAGGGAATTCTGCCCAGGCCTTCCCTGGCAGAGTGCTGCCAGGGGGGCCAGGCACTTGGAGGGAGCAAACAGCACAGTCTAGGCTAATGGTCTATATCACCAGTGTTGATTTCCTTTGCAGGAGGAGCGCCTCAGACGCGGAGATGATCTGAGATTACAGATGGCTCTGGAGGAGAGTCGCAGAGACACAATTAAAATTCCCAAAAAGAAGGAGGTAGTGCCTTCGACTAAGAAATTCCCGGTTATGCTGCCAAAAGCTGAAATACAGTAACACAAAAATAGCTTAATACTGAGCTCTTTTATGCTTTTGGGAAATGGCTTTGTTGTATAGCTTAAAGCTTCTTCCATGCGGGTTAAATTTCAAACTATTAATCAATGCAGGTGTGTAAAAGGAAAAACTAAAGAATTGCTTCTTCACTCTCATGGGTTTGTACTTGGGGTTGCTAATGCTCTTGATTAAAGCTCAGATTATTCCTGCCCTCAGCATACCACTTTGTTGGACCTAATGGATGCCCTGCCCTCGTCGGCACCGGCCCCACAGAAAACAGAGCCTTGGGGACCTCCTGCTGTTGCAAACCAGACTGATCCCTGGGGAGGATCCACAGTTGCAGCTACCGCCTCTGACCCATGGCAATCATTTGGTAAGAATAAAGTGCCAGAAGGAACGCTCAGTGGAGTTTCTTGCTTTTTAATGTTGAGCTTTGTGAAGTTTCTCAGTGTACAATGTCATGCTTGATAACAACAGTGTGTTAGTCCATTCTGATTGTTTCCCATACTCTGGAACTAATGTTTCCCTAACTCATCTCCAAGCAGAAACAAATGGAAGTTGCCCTCTTTTGAAGCAGCTGGGTTTTGTGTATGCATTTGAATCTTAACAAAGAAGAGAATGAGTGAAGCTTCTGTATTCTTTGTAGAGCAAAAACAACTGGAGGGATGGATACTCATGCTTTTCTAGTTGTGTCCAGTGTCATGGGGTTAGGCTCTTGGCAGTATTTAGTGTAGTACTTAGGCTAAGTGCGGTGGTTGGGAAAGCCATAGATCTGCATTACTGTGTCTTTAATTGCTCCTAATGAAATGTGATGTGTATGCCATCAGAACCAAACGGATTAAATTGTTTAAATTGAGTTTTTTATACTAAAGAAACAAAAAAAGAGCTTACCACTTTAAATACTCACTGTTCTATAAGCTTTTTGATACTAAGTTCATGGAATGAAGCAGAAGATCCAGTACTTCCCACCTCAAAGAGCCATTAAGCCCACTATTTTTGTGTGTCTGCTTTTGCGTGCATGTTTTGCTGCCTTTGTAGTGTGCTGGTTTCTGGGTTAGCCAAAGTCTGATCAAGGAGTTACTCCTTTGCATACATAAGTTGATGGCTCCTCATAGGATGTATTTAACTTGCTACATCTGTGGAATTGGATCTGTTTTTATGTTGGCTTTGGAAGCTTTTCATGAAGACTAACAGCTTAGTTCTGTCACTTTTGCTTCAGGCTGGTGATTCTACAACCTCTGCTATAAAGTGCTTCAGAGTGCATTAGCATTCAGCACACCACCCTCCAGATTCCTGATGCAAAATTTGAAGCTTAATAATAAAATGCATTACTTTTTCTTCCCCTCCTCATGGTGGCATTAAAGGCACCTACATGGCTGCTGGAACTGCACTTCATTGTTTTAAATGTAGCCTGTTTCTATTATGGTGATAAATTGCGAGCATGAAATCAGAGACAGTCCAAGTTTAGGGCCCTGAGGCTGTTCAGTGTGTTTTTCTGTGGTTAAAAACCAAAATCCACCTTCTTCAAATGCTGTGCTCAATCTGTCATCCTCTGACAAGATTTTCCTTCCTGTAGCATTTCCTCTCGGTGGCTCCCAACTTTATTAATGCCATAAAACAAGCCTTTGTTGCAGCTTGCTGGTGTGTTTGGCTCCCAAGGAATAGTCTTGAAGGTGTAAGATTTATGGATTTGCTAATAAAAGAGTGACTCATTTCACTGTGTTTCTCAAATCCTGCCTGTGCTTTGGCAGTTCAGTGCTAATGGAAGCTATGGGAAGGTGTCTTCCCAAGTGCTTTAATTCTGTGCGCTCTCTTTATGAAAGAAAAGACATTCCTGAAAGCTTCCACTTATGCAAAGTGCTGTCGTTGGCATTCCTTGTGTGGCGTTGCTCCTAACTCAGCACTAAGGGCAGATAAAGGAAGTGTAAGTACAGATGTGGGAATAGTTGGGCTTACTTGGAGAACTGTAGCATTTCCTGATCCAAAGCTGCAGCAGTGGTGCCTGTTGAGGCAACAAAGATTAAAGTGACAAATTGATGAAACAATTCCAAAGTGGCAAATTGGAATCGTGCCACTGTGTGGAGCATTGAATTGGTTTTCAAGACTCTTGTGATGCCAAGGGGGTGTTCATATGTAGTTTTAAAAGATAAACCAGTATTCAGTTGGAACTGGAAACCCTTATGGTGGTTAAAGATAATAGCTATGTACTGCAGGGGTAATTCTGGCCTGCTCTTGGGTTATACAGCTCTCATTTAGTACTTAAACCATGACTGGTGGAGAGGTTTCACTGGGAAGAGGAAATGGGTTTGCATGTACTATTTGACTTGAAGGGAATTGATCGCTGTAGAGTTGTGCATTGTCAGTACTGGCTTCCCACTCCTCCACTCTGATGGCTGAGGAGGGGCAGCAGCTATGGATGACATAGGAACGAAGCAAGAATGATACCTTCCAAGATAGACCTGGCCCACCTAAAATGTGGTTTGCTTCAGTAGTCCTGGGTTAAGCCAGAATAGTCCTGGATAAGCCAAAATAGTTTCATGTAATGGTAGAAGGAAGAAGAGGTCACCTAAGCTGAAATATGATAAATTAATAGTGGGAGGAAGAAGATAAAACTGGCAGGAAATTGTGTGTAGAGAGACAAGTTTTGTTCTCTTTCCTTCCCCTTTTACTGCTTTAATTTGGCACTTGGCACAAGGAAGCCCTAACCTTGAGCACGACTTGAAGCAGTTTGGTAATGTGAATTTGTGGGAGAGAAGAGCTGTCAGCATCTCCCAGTAAAAATGGGAAGCCTCAACATGTAGGCATTAGGTTTAAAAGGAATACAGGCAGGGGTATCAGTGGCCAGCTTAGATCTGGGGCAGGAGGAGTGCTTACAGAGGGGAAGAAAAAAGCACAACTGGTTCAGGGAAGCTCCTTGTATTTTGGGAAATAAAAGTGTGGTTAAAAGAGTTTGAAAACCATTCCCTTTGAATCTTACAGATTTCCTTGTTCAAGTCTTAGTATTGTACAGTTCATACCTTTTACATACAGGCCTTTTAGAAACCTTCTTTCCCATGGGGTCATAAACATACCCTTTAATTTCCTTCACCTTCAGTCAGTTATTTCTATTGTGGTGACAGTGTAACAAAAGCAAGTTTGTTTTCTTGTTGGAAGTGCAGATTGTTTATTATGTTTTATTATGTGTTCAGTTTCAAATAGATTTGTTTTACTCATCTGCCTTGCACAGAGTTTACTTGTGCTTGTTGTTCAGTATGTGTGACAGATGCTGAGGCTTATCAGTATTCCTGATGCTGAACTTATTAATACTAGACACTTATTGGTGTCTAGTGTTAATTGGCAGGAATGGCTTATAAAATAGATTAATCTCCAAGGGAAGCTTTCCAAAGTGAAATGGCACTGACTTGTGTTCCTGCTGCTTCTTCTGCAGGTGCCAAACCAGCTGCTTCTGTTGACCCTTGGGCAGCACCAACGGCATCCACAGCTCAGACTCTGTCCAAAAATGTTGACCCTTGGGCTCCTGCTCAGCCATCTTCTACTGCAGCAAAATCTTCAGTGGATCCTTGGGGACCAGCACCTGCAAACAAACCTCTCTCTACTTCTGGTGAGAAACAATCTCATCCCATAGCCATATTTGAGTGATGGAGGCGAAATCCAAGTTATTTTCTTGCATTGGATGGTTAAAAGAAGTGATATGCTGAATGGTTTGCAGAACTGGTCTGTAAAATAAATGGCAGTTGTAATAGCTGGCTGCATAAAGAACTTCAAATGGAATAATTCTGACTTAGAGCTCTGAATTTTTGTTGCTGCTTCCTGCTCTGTCCCCTTCTTTCCTTGGTGTCTGTGGACGCATGCTGAGCACTTGACTGCTGCTGCCGTTGGGTTTGGAATGGATTTTATCTTTAATGAGACAAGGACTTAATTTCTGGAAATGAATGATACTGTAATTTTACCTTTCATTATGATAAATGGCTCTGAGATGGATGGCTCTGCAGATGTAGATTGACAGGTTGAGCATCTCCACATTCTGAGGAGACTTTTAGAGGTGCAAATGAAGGTTTGTTACTTCAGACTGAGGGTGTGAAAGCTATCCCTGTGCCCTTGTGTAGCAGGATGCAGAAGGTCTGATGTAATTGTCTGTTCATGCTCCGTAACTAATGCAACCTTGATGAGTCCTAATACCTGCTATTTTCATGTTGGCACTGCGGCTGAATGCATCCTGAATGCATTTTCTGCTGGTCATTCATCTCAGTGCATAATAGACAAAGGAAATCTGAGGACTGCAGAAGTTGTCTAATCAGCTTTTCACTGGGCAAAGGGCAATAACTGGATCAGTATGAGAATGGTTCTTTAACTATGATGAGTCCCTGTTCTTGATAAGAAGTATGGTTATTGCAATCTTCACTTGTGCCCTTGGGGTTTTCTGTCTGTGTTCTTTATGGTACTAAATTCGTACCTTTTTGTGCTTGAAATGCGTTGAAGGTTAAAAGTTAATCAGAAAAACGTTTCAGCTAATAATAATTTAAAAACCAAAGCAAACTGTAAAGCTTTTCAGGAGTGTGATTGCTGATGATTTAGGTGTGGGTTTTCTTCCTCCATTCTGAGGTAAGGATGTGTCCACCTTTGGAAAATGTAATACTTTCACTGGTTGCAAACTATGGGCGAGTTCTGGTGCTTTAGCTAACAGGGCTTTTCCATCTCTACATGGCACAGATAACCTTTGCTATTGCATTCCTCCTCCCTTTAACTTCAGCAGCATATATCAAATCATCACTTAAGTTGTAGCGATGCTACATTTGTCTTTGGAGCTATATTCAGAAGTGTGTTCTACTTGAGGGCTGATTAACACACTTCATAGTTTAGGCTGTAAATTCATTGCTGTTCTCTTCTGCAGTGATATTTACCTGCCTATATGTCTCTAGTGCAGACGCTCAGTAAAACCCCAGCAAGCTGAGTGTGCCTTACATTAAGATTTCAAAGCACACTGCTCTGAATTAGTTGGCTAATACTGTAGGAAAGGACAGTGTTCTCACATATATCCGTCTTCCTGGTCCTGAGTAAGAGTAGGAGCACTCCAGCTGATCTGAACTGCTGCCCCAGCACCTGACAGAGTGGCTTCTTGGTACACAAATGGGCTACAAATTGCTTTCAGTAGGATCAGATGTGTGATACAACTGCAGATCTGTTAATGACAGGGCTGTCTTGTTTTGAACAGGAAGTACATCTTTTGACCTCTTCAGTAATTTGAATGGTACAGTTAAAGATGATTTTTCTGAATTTGACACACTTCGAACTTCCAAAAAGCCAGGTATGAATCAAATTCTCAGCATGTGGACAGTTTGGGTCATAATCTCAGCAACAGATGGCTCTACTCTTAAATCTTACTTCAAACAAAATATACTTTCACAAAGGAAGAGATTAAAGCTGGTGATAATGCAGCCGTAAAAGCCTGTTGTTAACATTTTGGCCTGTGCATGAACTTACGGGGAATGGGCCTTTTGCATTGTAAGGCAGAGAATTCGCTCTGTAACCTTTTGCTGCATTGACCCAGAAACTTGTTGAATGCTGTAAATTCAGAAGACAAACGTGTTTGGAGTATGGCTCAGAGAGTCAAAGTGAACAGTGTTGACTGCATTTCTCAAGCATGTAAATTCCAGTGTACAACAATAGTAGGAAGATGAGAATATACACTTCTGTGAATGCTTTATTTGTTATTTGCTTATTAGTCACTAAAATAAAAACTGGCAGAACTTAACATCAAAATGTACTTTCAGGATGGTTCTGCCTGAGAGGATGGTGGCTAAGCTTTTGTAACACAAAAGAGACAACCTGGGTGGAATCTAGCTAGGAAGGGTGCAGCGGTGGTGTAGTGCAAGAGCAGAAGCCAAGGCTTTTGAATCTCTTGGAGACTTAGTCCCATCTGTTGCAGCATAGCTGTGAGGATATTCATCAGGGCAAATCAGGTAGCACCTTCAGGAGCACTGCAACTCTTAACTATAGCTTCTTCATCCTCTCCTAAAGAACATTACCTGCTTGCATGCTGTAAGGGTGTAACATGTACTGAAACACTGAAATCTGACTAACACAAACGTTAGATATGAAAACATTTCTGCTGTGAGACTTGAGGGTTTTCTTTGCTTGACTGTGTAGGTTAATAAGTTTTGTTTTTCTCTTTGTGTTGTTTCAGCTGAATCAGGTTCCACTTTGCCATCTCAGCATAGCGGTACCACAAGTCCTGATCTCTTTGATTCCCAGCACTCAAACGTGACATCAGGCAAGCAAAGTGCAGCTCGGAAAACCCCTGAGTCTTTTTTGGGCCCCAATGCTGCTTTGGTGAACCTGGATTCACTGGTGTCTAAGCCACCACAACCTGTTACTTCACTGAATCCATTCTTGGCACCAGGTTTGTGTCTGCACATTCTTTCAGTTTTCTATTTTAACTTTCCCATCCTGTAGGAAAACTCTGCATAACTCGGTCCTCTTTGATTTAATATAGACTGGTTTGGGCTTGTTTTCTTGATGACTTCAGCCAGCAGATCGTGACGGAGAGCAGGAGGGTGAGGCAGGATGGTTTCAAGCTATACTGCTGGACCCTGAAAGCAGTTTCTTCTCTTGCATCTTGTCTGCTGGCTGAGCTTGGTTCAAACAGTTTCTCGTCCACTTTTGCTCTCTCAAAATGAGAAAGTTTGGCTGTCTTTAAACCAGCATAATAAGCCAGTTGTATGATAGAATGGTTTGGGTTGAAAGGGGCAATAAAGCTCATCGAATTCCAACACCCTCCCATGGGCAGGGACACCTTCCGCTAGAGCAGCTTGCTCCAAGCCCCTGTGTCCAACCTGGCCTTGAACGCTGCCAGGGATGGGGCAGCCACAGCTTCTCTGGGCACCCTGTGCCAGCGCCTCAGCACCCTCAAAGCTCTCAAACCTTTGATCAAAGCACTCTCTGAAGAGAATACCCTTTGTAGTTCTCCTGTAAGTTGCCCCCTGTTAGAAATGGGGCTACTTCACCTGTAGCAGATTTAAATAGTAACACTAAACATGTGGATGATGCATGTGGATTTTAAAAGCTATTCACAGGCACTGAAGTTTCTGTGTAACACTTGTATGATGAAATACTTTAAAACACTAGTTCAGTATTTATTTTCTTCACTTTTCAGTGGAAAAACCCAGCAGTTTATTAAACTCCTTGAGTAGGAAACCCCCCCAGTAATTCTGAAGAGCCTTGGCAGTGCTCAGCCAGAGGAAGTCTGTGTATCTGCCATTACCGGTTACTACACAAAGTTTATAAGGGGTCACTGGGGCATCCAAATAACGCTACACATGTACGGTAGGAGGAATTTGTAGTGTTGGCAGCAGCCCAGAGAACCTCAAAGGCTGGGAAAGTTACTCTGTGCTTTTTCTAGCAGCGCTGTAATTCGGATACAACTTGTTTACTTTATGAATTCTTGTCAAAGCTCAGTGCCAGCAACATGTACAGCTTCAAAATGGAGCTGACTGGATGGGATCGCGAAGCGAATGCACAGAGCTGCAGTAGCAGATTGCAGTAATGGAGGGCAGAGAGCCTGCAGTTCTCATCTATAAGGCACATTTAATGTCATGGTTAGGCATGTTCCAGGTAACCAGTTATGGAACCTCTTTCTCTCTCCAGTGACTACTGTCAGAGGTGGAAACTACAAATCAGCAAAGGGGTATTTTGTGCAGTTATAGATCCAAGGAAATGGGCTATAGTCATGCACCAGTGCAGCCCCAGCTTGCTGAATGGCATCCACTCCTGTTTCTCTGCCTGGAGCTTTGAGGCTGGGAGCGCATGGGGATGAACAGGAAGTGTATTCTTTAGCAGAAAAGCCCATCTCCAGACCTCGTGTTCATGGAGGTGTGATCTCTTTCCTTCTTCCTCCTTCTCTCAAAACTAGGCGCTGCTACAGCACCAACTCCAATCAACCCCTTCCAAGTGAATCAGCCTCAGCCACTTACTCTGAATCAGATGAGAGCGAGTCCCGTGATGGGAACCAGCCCTTCTTTCAGTGCTGTGCCACCGATGAGCATGGAGCCAATACCTCTGTCTTCCATGGCCCCAGTGCCTGTGGGAATGGCACCGATACCAGCTATGGGCACTGTGGCATCTCTAACGAGGATGGGCCAGGGTCTTAATGTGAGCATTGCAGGATCAATGACCCAACCTCTTCACAGTACAGGAATCCCGCCGTCAGCATCCCAGTCTACAAATACAACTAACCCTTTTCTCCTATAAAAGACCCAATTAAAGGAACTTTCTTTTCATAGTGTTTCCAGGCTGAAGTCTTTACAGCAAAATGAACGTGGCCTGTGTGGACTGAACGGTGTGTAAGAGACTTGGAAGTAGATTTGCAGTTTACAGTTATGATCTTTGAAGAGTTGTCTCTACTTACCAGTTAATCTAAATCTAGTCTTTGCTACAGATGGTACCTTACTTTGGCTTGTTGAGCATTATGTGAAATGTTCAGACTTTTCACCAAAGTTAGATTCTGCCCATTTTGTTACTTTGTTAATCATTTCAATACACTTTCTAGGGAGAACCTGCCATTTTACAACTCCGTTGGCTATTTTGTAGATGTCAGATGATGTGCTGGATCCTGAAATTACTCTTTACCTGCATCTGTCACTTCCTAAGCCCATACGATAGACCTGAGATTCAGAGTGCTAGTGAATGTTTTGCACATAACTACACACAGTTCTAGACTGTTGGTTCACCCATAGTCCTTACTCTTAGAAGAGAACGATTGCGGAGGGCCCAGGTGGCTGGTTTTTATGCATTAAACATTGCAACGCAAAAACGGCACTGCTTTCGTTTCAGAGGCTTGCCTGAGAAAGCAAGCTTGTCTCAAAAGGAAAACAAAAACCCCACAAGGCAAATCCAGACAAACCCCCCCCTCCCCAAGAACCTTCTCAAGTTGTCGAGTATAACGTGTGCTGTCGTATGCAGTGTTGAATTTGTACACTACTCTCTAAGGACTCGTGAGGAACTCTCTGTGAGTGGCATGCTGCACTCGTGCTGAGTGAGTGTCCTGCTCTGTGCTTGTCCAGTACCAGCTTCGTTTGGAAGTTTATCATGTGTATTTTGTTCTTTATTTGACTTACAATGTGAGTTGAAAGAGGTAAAAAAAAACCAACCCAACCTAACAGAAATACAGTGGGACAACTTGGAATCCAATTTCACCGGGGCAAGCTTTAAAACTAATTCAGGCTTAACCTTGCTATATGCAGTTACTCTTGTATACTTTTGCACATATTTTGTTTAGTACAGTTTCATATTTTGAGTTTGCAGAGTTACCTAATAGTCCTTTTTTTGCTAATTTTTATAATGTGGTTCTTATTTAACTGTCTGGTTTTGATAGATTTATCAAGTCTGGCGGAAAAATTAAGATATTGGCAAATGTCATTTTTATGGTTAATGCCCTCTTATTTATGGTTTTAGCTCTTTGTTTCTGTAAAGAGAGTTTAAAAGGGAAGATTAACACTAAACTATTTACTTTAAATGAAGTATTCATAATGCAAATCGAAGCAAATTCTCGTGACTAATTATTTTTAGATGAATTGAATTTGAGCGTAACATGATTTCCGACTACATTAAAAAGGAAAAAACACTAAAGTCGCCTTTTTCCCTTGATTTGTTCCCGTTTTTCCCATCTCCAAACCGGACATTGGGCCTTTATGAAGATCACAAGAGAGAGGCTCTTTTTCTTCTTGTAGTAACTTCTTGAGATGTTTAAAAACTCCTAATGTACAAACACGGCTCCTTAATTTTATTGACTAATATTCCCTTATGGAAGGTGCGCTCCATGTTAATAACCGGTTCCATTGACAGCTGTTAATTGTAAAGGCTGAGTTATACCTGTTAACTTGCATGTCTGGACTCCTCGGCACTAAACCACGCTCAGGTTTCAGCCAGTGTTCCTGGTGGAAACCTCGTGTTCCCAGAGATGGCAACGCTTGAGCTCTGCTGTCAGAGCAACACCTATATCCACAGAGCGAGCAGAAAGAGATGTCTTGGTGCTTGCTGCTGCAGTGAGGGCATCTTTGTGAATGAACTGATTGATGCATCTTGGTGGCCTTTCCCTAACTAGAAGGAGGGGAACAAGCAAAAAACCCCCCTAAAAGAAATTGCCAGGGTTGCGTGTTGTGGTGTAATGATGCTGTGTGGGGCTGTGCGTGTCCAGCGCAGGGAAGAGGCACTGGTTAATGTGGAAGGGACTGAGTTAAACCTTCTGGTGGGTAGGGGAGGCTGAAAGACTATCAAATCTAGGGTACAATCACAGATTTTAGCTGTGTAGGTCAGTGTAGCTCTGTTAGTGTACGGAATGCTAAGTGTGTGGATGTTTCTATGCAGATTGTTCTATCCTCTTGAGTACTATGGAATTTGCAAGTAGGATTCAGAATATTCATCTGCACTTGGTTTTTATATAGGAGGAAAGAGAATTGCTGTCCACACCCAGTATGTCTTTAAAACAAAAACCCATTCATGTTGCCTTTCAGAATAAGGAAAAATACTTTACTTTTTTTGTGGTGGTGAAGTTATTGAAAAGTGTAGACCAGGAAGGGTGTGATTGTGGTGGACGGGAAGGAAAAGCGTTTTCCAGCTGATCTGTGGCAAGATTTCTCCATCATCATTTTCCCAATTTAATTTCATCCACAGTGTAATTGAGGTCACTTGATGTCACTTAGTTTGTCACCTGAATGCGTTTAGATGGGGCTTTGTCTCTTCAGCCCTAAAGTTGTAACCCCATCCTCTTGTTGAACACTGGTTTTGGAGGCAGGATGGGGTTGGTGAAGTCATCTGCAGTTCAGAGTTGTGCTCTAGTGTCAGGAATGGATGAAAACATGCTGTTTGTCTGATAGAGCCCTATCTTAAGGAAACTGGGGAATGGAAAAGGGTTGAGTTACAGTAAGACCTCATTAGTTTTACATCATATATAGATAGATGGATATATATCACACAATAAACCAAGCTCTGAAGCGTCATTAACCTGGCCTGTGGTGCTGTAGAGCTTGAGACGAAGGCTTGACCATGACAAGACACCCAGCCTGGTGTGAGGGTTGAGACAGGAGCTGAGTAGCAGAGGTTTGGTAGATCTGCAGCTGCTTTGCTTCCTGGGCTGGAGCTGTGCCCATGGGCAGCAGTGGGGATGCTGCAGGGATGTCCTGGCCAGGTGATGCTTCAGTTGTGTGCAGAGTGGTAAATCTGAGGATTCAGATTTAGAGGAATTCTTCCTCCCTCCTCACCCTCCCACTTCTTCTGGCATGGAGAACGTGTGCATATCCCATTCCCATCTGCTCTGGTGTATTTCTCCAAACGCATTTCCCTTCCCCCCCCCCCCCCTTCTTTTTCTCACTTGCAAAATATACTAAAAGTGCTTTGGATTTATCAAATGTTAGTAGCCCAAAATAGCCTTACTGGTCAAATTGACCAAAGAGAACAGTGTGAAATATTTTATAAAAAAGGAAGAAAAGGAAAAAAAAAAAAAAGCAAACCCTTGGCATAACTTTAACACCCCCCTTTCCCCCAATAAGCTCAGTTATTTATTCAGTTTTATACCCTAGAGAAACTAAACTCCATGGAGGGGACAGGGAAGGAGAACCGTGGTGGTGGGTTGTGGTGTTTACAGTCTTTCTGAAGCCCCGTAGCTACGACAACTCTTGTTCTCCATCTTCCCTTTTGCTGTTACAGATCCTAACGTGTACTGTACGTATTAATATTGCACAGACTCGCTGAGAAATAGATGGGTTATTTTCCACAGCAGTATCTCCCAAGACTCCTCTTCCTTTCCCTGTTACAACTGAAATCATCACCAAAACTGGTTTCATAAGCCCGGGAGCCGGCTGCTTTCGATGAATTTGTGCTGACCTTTGACATTATTTACTGTATAAATAATTTATCATGTGTACTATTGTATCATAATGTCTGTATCTTTGTGTCATGGTTTGTTTTCTTTCTTCCCCCCCCCCAGCAACGTCACAAATGTGATATTGAATGCCATCAGAACAGTGGAAAGACGAGGGGTTTGTAGGTGACTGGTCAGAATTAAAACTGTATTGCTTATATTCCAGCCGTGTTGCTTTTTCCAGACTCTGCCTAAGTGTTTTATGATCCCATTGGAAAAACTGTCACTGCCGTGCTTGAGTTCTCCAGAAAGCTCATGGATTGCTTGAGGTGATGTAAGGTTTGTGCTCAAAGGCCTGGGGTGCTCGGAGAAACGGAACCGTTGTGGGGAGTGATGCTTCTTGTACATTGTCAATGTGATTTCTTGGATGCGTTCAGCGCTTTCCTGGGGCAGGCCTGCTCTTGCTGTGAGAAAAGAGGGTTTCTTAATAGATCACTTAAATGGGAATCCGTTGAGACCTTACTAACTCAATAAAAATGAAGACTTGTTGTGTTGCAGGTGACTGAATTGCTTCTTTAAACAGCGCTTCCGGAGGGATGATGGAGTACGGGCTCGGTGGAGGCTTCCGTATGTATGTCAAGGCAGGAGGCTGGGGAAGGAGCGGCTTCTAGAGCTCATGGAGTAAGGGCTGGGGAGCTGGGACAGAGCTGGCTTTGGGAGTCTTTGCATCCCATTTGCAACAGTTCAGTCTTGCCCTTCCCATTGACCCAGTGGCCTTGCGGATGGGGTAGCAGGGAGCCTGTCTCCGGGTGGGAAGTGATTCCAGCTTCTCATTGTGGATGGTTTAAACTGAAGGGCACTTCATTAGGAGGCTGCTTCAAGAGCTACCTCTGCAGAGCCCCTCTGGGCTTCCTGTAGTTATGGTCTGCTGCCAATTGGACCGATCACTAATCAAACCCTTCACTTGGTGCCAAAACCACAGTGGTGGCAGGGACCTGTTATCGGAAAAGCAGCCACAGGGGGAAAACCCATTCATTTGGGTTTCAATTTGATTCATTTTGCTGCTGCTTTTGGGCTGGTAAAACAGCAAAACTTCCTTTGCAGGGCTGGCAGCCCAGGTACCTGCTGCTTTTGGTACCTCTCCTTTTCCAGAAGGAGGCGTCTTCTGTGCATGTGTGAGTATTGCTGCTCTGGGTGATCCATACTCCACTGTTTGATTCGGGCCTCATGTTGAAGTAAAGCAGGAAGGGTTCAGAGTGGAAACAACTGATTCTTAATACTCCTTTAGAGGAGGTGGCTGCTGCAAGCCAAGGGGTTGCTGGAGGGAGCAGGAGCTGATAAAACCCATTGGGAGGTAGCTCTGGCTGTGGCTGAGCCTTCCTCTGGCCTTAGGCAAGCGCTCTCCTCCTGTCCTGGGTTTCCTCTTCCTCTCCTGTGAAGTGAGGTGGGATTTCCCTGCCTTTGCAGGGGAAAAGGGCTCCCTGGATAAAGTGGGATCGAGAGGCTTGTCCTCCCCTTGCGCTGGTGCTGCCCAGGTGGCTTTGCTGAACACATTCATTGCTGTTACCTATTGTTTGTGCTGGGCTCCTCTGCTTGTTTGAACTGAGGGCCAGTGGCTGGGGCCAGCTCCTACTGTGGCTTTGGCAGGACTTCTACAACCACCTGCAAGCTACGTTTCAGAGAACCAGTGTGGTTTATGCAGCCTCGTGTTTGAAAGCTTCCACCTTTTCCAGTCATCCACTTCCAGGTAACCTCCTCCCTGTCCTGCGAGCTGGGACACAGGGATTTGTAAAGACACAGGTTTGGGAGCTCAGAATTAGGAACTGCAAGGAGCTGGTGGTGCATACAGTGGTAGCAGTCCTGTCTCTTTGTGCTTTGCTGTCAATCCATCGTACCCTGTTATCGTTGGAGGTTGGAGTATCCATGAGTGGAAGTTCCCTTTGGAACTTCACTCCTGCCCGTTACCATGAGGGTGGTTAATCCCCAGCACTCTGATGGGGAGCTTAGAAGGAGGACTGGCATCCTATTGGCATCCAGAGGTTGAAGTATTAGTTAGGAATGGGGGAGCGTGGTGATACCTTGGTTGGAGATGGAGCACCCTCTGGCTTCGCTGTGGGGACTGGGAGCTGAACCAAACCTGGCTCAGATCCTGGGGCCCTCAGGTGTTAAGTAAAGCACTTTTAAAGCACTTGAGCATGTTTGTGGCCACCAACAGCTGCTGTGAGCAGAGCAGGTTCTGGTGCACATCCATGTGTGCAGGGAGGGGGACAGCGTGTGCTGCTAGACTGGAATGGAGCCCTTGGGATGGTGGGAGCTGGTATTCCATGGTCATCGGTGGCTGTGATAGAAGCAGCCTGGACACTACCTGATTGTTCTCAACACTTGTTGAGCATTGAGTGCCCATTCTCATGTGAAGGAGAATCAGTGACGTTTCAAATAGCTGAATGAAGTGGTAGTGAAGGTGTTTGTTTTCTAGGCTCCTTGTGCTGGTACCTGACATGAAATCGCACCAGGGCATCCTTACTGCCAGTATTGAGGTTCAGTTGCTTCAGTATACTCTGGGTGATACTCATGAACAGGTACCGCATCACTGGAGGTCGATGCAGCATCCTTAGAGCTCAATACAGCATCACTGGAGCTCGGTGCAGCGTCACTGGAGCTCAGTGCAGCATCACTGGAGCTTGATAACAGCATCCTTGGAGCTTGATAACAGCATCCTTGGAGCTCAATACATCATCACTGGAGCTTGATGCAGCATCCTTAGAGCTCAATAACAGCATCACTGGAGCTCAATGCAGCCCCAGGGTCCTGTTGTTGGCAGCAGAAACCTTCCTGGAGGAAAGACTGTGTTTAGTAGCCCCTGATACAACTACCTCATAACTCCGTTGTGGGAGCACTGGCCTTTGGGAGCCACACAGCTGAGTTAGGGCCTGGAGGAGACCTTTGTCTGGGTGAGGGCTGAGTGGCTCCATTTGATGCTGACTCAGCGTGGTCTTGTCCTACCAGCCAGCCCATCACTAACCCACATGGGATTCCCCATAGCACTGTACTCTAGTAACTTCTAAGATGGAAAATCATCAGGTACCTTCCTTCTGCCCCACAGCGGTGAACACAGAACCTGTACAAGTCAGGCAGTGGGGTTCATGTTCTCCTTGAAGGGCTTTTTGTTAGGGAATGAAACTGAGGGCTGTACCCAAGCTGGAGGGAGCTCTTTCTGCTTGCTATAACAGCACAGAAGGCTTAGGAGACCGTGGGCTGCCTGGGGTTGTGTTGGGTGATGGGGATGGGGTGGGTTTTGCTTTCTCAATGTCTTCATTAGCAAGTCTGGCACTGAGTGCAGTGATGTTCTGCGAGGTGAATCTGGGGGCTTGAATATCTTGGCCTGAATAGAGGCATAAAAATAGAAACCTGCAGCAGTTCCTGCTCCTGCTGATGCTTCCCTCGCAAGGACGGAGCCTGAATCTCTGCACCCTGCTGTGAAAGCAGCTCCTGTTGCACCCTCCCTGCTCCGCAGCCTCCCTCCTGCGGGCTCAGGCCTGGCTTTGGTGGCCAAGGGCACGCACTGGTGCAGGGGGTCCTGCTCCCTCGGTGCTTGTGGCACTGGGGGGTGTTTGTCCCATGCTCTCAGGATAAGGGGCAGCACCACTGCACTCAGCAATCCCCATGGAGGAGCAGGGAGAGCTTGGGCATCCTCCACACCACCTTGGCAGCACCTCCAGCATCTTCCTAAGGGTTGAAAACTGCCACGAGGGGGCAGGAGCTGGTGCTGCTGTTTCTTGTTTTGGTGAAAAGGGCTGCAAATGCCAGCTCCTAAAGATCCAGGCCAGGGTGACAGGGCCAAAGGGGGCTGGAACTGAATGACCTTAAGGTGCTTTCCAACCCAAGCCATTCCGTGATTCTCTGATTCTATATATCCAAATGTTTTTCCTCCTTCTGGAAGGTTTGGTTCCTGAGCTGCTGTTTGATCCATGGCCTTGGCTGTCTCCTAGAGTGGTTCCTATGGTGGGAGCAGGGAGCTCTCCCCAAAGCTCCTCCAGAGCAGGAGAGCAGAGGAGGGCTCCTGCCAAGTCCCCAGCTTCATCTCACTCTGTCTGATGGCCTGGAAGCCTCATCCTGTGTCAGGACACAGGCACTGAACCAAGGCTTTTCCCCTCCCGTTTGCATTAGGAGGTTAATGGGCAATTCCACTGCCTGGGAAGAGACTTCAACAGGAGCTGCAGCACCAGCTGAGAGCCCCCACCAGTGCTTGTGCCAACAAGGGACTGGGAACTGCGGGTTTGAATCCAAGGGAGGAGGATTAACTGGGTGAGAGGAAGCTTTGAGCCTCTGCTATAACAAGGTTGGGGTTTGGCTGTTGGAGCGTGGGCTCGTTGAACCTTTAACTGCAACCAACACTTATGGGTTGTAAATCCCTGCCTTACTGGTGTCCTTTTGGCAGCACCGAGGCGGGCGTCTCCTTACTCCTGTGTCACGAGAGCAGGGATTCTGTGCACACTGCAGGTGCTCCAGCACACCTCAAACCAGAGTCTTCCAGCAGCTGATGGAGGCAGCAGCAAGGCTGTGCTGGGGAGAAGATGGTTACGGGCAGGATCAGCAGTTGCCTCTTGGAACAAAGGAGCAGCGTTGAACTCGGGAAGCACTGGAAGCATCAGCCCTGTGTGTGCCCTTGGGCAAGGGGCAAGCTGAGGAGCTCCTGCAGCAAAGTGTGAAGGCCTTGAGGAAGGTACGTGGGGTTCTTAACATGCTGGAGACACCGAGGAGCCAAAACCCCTCAACCAAAGTAAAGAGCCCCAGTAACGCAGGTAGAGGTGTGGGATCTGCTTAGTCCCGTATCTAAAACCCTGTTCAATGGAGTTGGGGATTGAAGTGTTTTAAACCCTTGCTCTTCACTGGTTTAACCTTTATTCTGAGGGTCCCTGCAGTGTGATGGGGCCTGTGCAAACACACGTGGGGGCTTTGACCAGCCTCAGTGGGGTAAGCAGCCAGTTTGAAACAGGACCCATGCAGGAGATGGGTCACAGCAGGACACCACAAAGCTGCATGTGGATAAGTTCACTGCATCCCTGCGGGCACAAGGCTTGGGCTTTGCCTGGGTTTACCGGGTTTCTCATGAGCAGAACCTGTGCTGGGCAGTTTTGCTCTGATTGCAATGGGGGCAGGTAACTGTGCTCAAGGGAAACAAACTCTAGGAGCAATAGCAGGTTTGATGTTTGCCTTTCAAACACTGATACTGATCCTGCTACTGCGGAGAGCCTCTTCCCAAATGCTTTTGAAAAGGCAAGGAAATTCCTTGCCTCTGCTCCCAGCCAACAGGAAATACTTCTTAGTTTGGATTCCAGCGTGACTGAGTCCAGAGATCCCAGCAGAGATCCCAGAGCTTCCTGGAAGTGGGAGATCAACAAGATGGGAAGAGCGAGCGAGCTGGAAAATCATCTGTGGAGGTTTGGGAAGTATTTCTAAACAGTCTAAAGGATGCTAAGAATGCTCACAGCAAAATGACAGTGATCACATCTCAGAGCTTACATTTATATTCAATACATATTGAATACATTGCTTTTATTCACCCAGCTATGAAGTAATCTCTCTACATCTGACAGTGTCCTGGCTCTGCAGTTCAGTGCTGTGTGTTATCACTTGTATTCTTAACAGTCCCAAGGCCTTGGTCGGTCCCTTACAGGGTGGTTTTGTGTTAAGTCATTCTCACAGTCACCTTTGGGTGTTTGCAGTCAAACACAAGAGGTTACATGGCCAAATTGAGATAGGAAAATTAGGAAGCAATGAGTCATTTTGTTGTAGCATCCACTTCCTTTGGTACCTGTAAGAACAGCAGATCTTGGATGACTGAGGGCTTAGAAACATCCTGGCACAGACAGGTAACAAAACCTAGCAGGGGCAAGACAAATACATTGAGACAAGTGGGTTTATTCAGCCCAAAAGGAGAGCACTAACATCATCTCAGAGGAGCAGCTCTTCAGATCCAGGTGGCTCTGTGCCCTCATGCTGCAGCACTGGAGCTCCTGTGACGCACTAGTAACAACCTACATGGGTCTGCTCCTGCTCTGAGGTTATGCCATGGGAGGAACAACTGGAGTACAGCACTTGGACATCACTATATTGCTGCTTTAACTGCCCTCCTGATAAGCAAAGCAGCCAAGGAAAGCCATGGTATGGTATCTGTGTAAAGTGATGGCTGAAGGAGCTATGCAAGAGAAGGTCCTTTCTGCTGCCTCCCTCCCTTCCTGTGCAGCACGATGCAGCTGGTACCCAATTTGGAGCTAAATCCTGCTCATGACCACACACAGCTCAACTTCCTTTGGTGGAGCCTTCTCCAAAGCTTAGTTTTTAATCAATATTTGCACTTAAAAGGCAATTTGTCCTCCCAGAAGGTAGGATACATTTAACACCAGGGGCTCTTTAAGGCCTCTAAACTAAAACTGCTGCCCTATTTAATTCCCTTGATGCAGAAATGAAGCCTGGAAGAGGCAGCATCTTGCTCTAGATGCAAAGGCGCAGGTTGCTTCACTGCCAAATGTGGGGAAGGTTTGTGTCTGCAGTGCACGAGGTAGTTGCGCAAACTAAAGGTCTGTGTGGGATTATAAAGGGAACTGCTGCTGCTTCTGCAGAGGGGGGCACAAGGCAGAGAGGAGCCTGTGTGCATCTTACTGGACCAGTTCCACAGTCCTCCCTTTTTGGAAGGTGCAGCACTTTTCATTTCCCAGTTGTACCACAAAAAGCATCAGTAAAGAGCCCTGGGTTTGTAATGCTGGTGTGAACACAGGAACACTGCTACAACTCTCAACTTTCCTATTCTTTATGTGTATAAAAAGTGTACAAAAGGCTGTTAAAAAATACTTGTACAGGTCTTATTTTGAGCTAGTCTGATTATTACATATAAAAAGGTGAAATAACAGCTGATAACATTCATTGACATACCATTGCAACCTGTATCTTACTTAAAGGATGACAGTAATTGTTCCAAAGCCTCGCAGGCTTCTGTTTCTTTTGGAATAATGAAATTAATCCTAATAATGATGCCATTTTGATGTCTCCAATGAGATTTCTCACTTTGCCACAACAAGCCCCAAAGCTCTGTTAGCCTTTGAAGCCCTCATGGCCCAGCTCAGTACATGTGCATCCCCTCTGTCAGAGGCCCCAGGGAAGGGTCCTGCATGTCGCTCGGGGTCACGTCGTAGCCCAACTTCTTCATGTCCTTGGTCACTACGTTGAAGGAGATGGTCACAAAGCCTTGAGAACGCACCCTGGTCACTAGGAGAGAGAAGAGGTGAATAAAAGTGGTCAGGAGAGGGTTCTGGATAGGTCTTGGATGCCCATATCCCAACAGGAACAACCAGTCTTTTATCAGCACAAGGGGATGGCCAAGCTGTGGCCTGCTGCTGTGGATGGGCTGCAGGCAGCTCGCAGGGACTTACCTTCTCTCCCTTCTCCCTGTGCTACCACTCTGGGGTCAGTAAATTCTGGACGTCTCCCTGTGAACCAGCTTGGAGAAGAGAAGAGAAACTTCACTGGTGTTTAGGTCTGATACAGCCCATGCTATACGTGTCAAAAACACAATGGGGGGCTTAAGGAGACTCCCAGCTTTTGTTTGCAGCAGGGTTTCCCTTCATTGCTGATCAGCTTCGATCAAAGGTAAGTTTTGTTTAAGGAAAGAAATGAATCCATCTTCATACACATCTTAAATCCAGGTTATTTCCGGGCTAGATGGAATATTCCTACAGCAAAGATGGTTCTGAGATGGATTCACCTCTTGATTACCCAGAACACCACCGAAGCTTTGATACTTCAAACACGCAGCTCCACTAACATACACTCCCCATAGCTACAGTGGGACTGCAGCAAACCTCCTCAGCATCCAGTGGCATCTGAAATGCTGAGTGAAGTCCAAGCAGCACCTCTGCCAGTCCCGTCAATGAACCCATGGGACACGGAGCTGCCACTGAGCGCAGGAGCTCATGCAGCAGCAGCTTGCTCTGCTGAGAGGAGCTCTTTCTAAACCAAGGGTTCGAATGTGCAGTGAATAAATGGAGCCAGCATCACTGCTAACACGGTTGAGTGAGCTCTTCAAAGACTCAGGCACCTAAAAGCATGGTTTGACCTACAAAACTCTGGTTAAGATCCAAACATGCAGCTGTGTGTACGCTCCAGTGTGAACCTTTGTGACCACGAGCAGGGACTTGAAACCAAGAAGTCTTTAATGATTACCTTGTAAACTGCTGCAGCCTGGACGTGGACTCTGGAACAAACATAGGGATGGTTCTTGTATGCCTGCAACAAACCCAAGGTGCACAGAGATGAAGCAAAGCGCACTGGAAAGACTTCTGTTTATAAAGGTGCTGGGATTTCAGACGCATGAGACAACTGAACACCTACCTCTCACAAGGAAAGGTTTGTTATAGAGGAAGAGCTTGTTACATAGGAAGAGTGTTATATATGTTTGTTATATAGGAAGAGTTTGTTATATAGGAAGAGTGTTTGTTATATAGGAAGAGTGTTATATAGGAAGAGTGTTATATAGGAAGAGTGTTATATAGGAAGAGTGTTATATAGAAACAGTGTATATATGCTTGTTATATAGGAAGAGTGTATATATGTTTGTTATATAGGAAGAGTTTGTTATATAGGAACAGTGTATATATGCTTGTTATATAGGAAGAGTTATATAGGAAGAGTGTATATATGCTTGTTATATAGGAAAAGTGTATATATGCTTGTTACATAGGAAGAGTGTTACATAGGAAGAGTGTTACATAGGAAGAGTGTTACATAGGAAGAGTGTTACATAGGAAGAGTGTTACATAGGAAGAATGTATATATGCTTGTTATATAGGAAGAGTGTTATATAGGAAGAGTGTATATATGCTTGTTATATAGGAAAAGTGTATATATGCTTGTTACATAGGAAGAGTGTTACCTAGGAAGAGTGTTACCTAGGAAGAGTGTATATATGCTTGTTATATAGGAAGAGTGTATATATGCTTGTTATATAGGAAGAGTGTATATATGCTTGTTATATAGGAAGAGTGTATATATGCTTGTTATATAGGAAGAGTGTATATATACTTGTTATGTAGGAAGAGTTTGTTATACAGGAAAAGTGTATATATGCTTGTTACATAAGAAGACATATAGGAAGAGTGTTCTATAGGAACAGTGTATATATGCCTGTTACATAGGAAGAGTGTTATATAGGAACAGTGTATATATGCTTGTTACATAGGAAGAGTCTGGGAATGAAAGCTTAGCACGTGCTGAGCGTGCTGATGGAGGTGTACTGCATTTCACGCTTGGGTTTCCCCCATCCCAGTTGTGGCTTTGCAGGATCGCTAGAGATTATCTGATACCCTGCTAGCAAATCCCTGTTCTTCGTACCAGAGAGACAAGACTTGATAAGGAGAGAGAGGAATGATCCCAAACAAGCGCTACCTAAGGAAACCCCCTCCTTGCCTCTGTCCTGAAAGCCAGGCTCCACGCTCACCTCCCAGGGGTGAAGGGGACGTGAACAGCTCCGTACCCTCTGACCACATCATGGCCAAAGAAGTCGGGTCCGTAGACGCTGACAACAATCTGGGGCCCTGCAACGGACGGGAACGTGAGCGGGGGAGCTCAGGGCAGGAGCCGCTGCCCCCGGCCCGCACTCACAGCCCGATGGGTTGGTGCTCTTGAAGGTGATGTCGATGGGGAAGTTCCAGACGAGGGTGGTGGGAGAGACGTCGCTGGTGGAGGTGATCTGGGAGATGCCCTCCTCCAGGCCCTGTGGGGAGCAGGTTAAAGGAGGTGATCACACAACCCCCCCCCCCCAGCACTGTGTGCGGTGCTGGTGTCTTTAACACAAGGAGGGCATGGAGCTGGTGGAGCAAGGCCAGAGGAGGGATATGGGACTGAGCAGGGGCTGGAGCACCTCCTGTATGGAGACAGGCTGGGAACATCAGGGCTGTTCGGCCTGGAGAAGAGAAGGCTGCGTGGAGACCTCAGAGCAGCCTTCCAGTATCTGAAGGGGGCTATAGGGATGCTGGGGAGGGACTCTTCATTAGGGACTGTAGTGATAGGACAAGGGGTAACGGGTTAAAACTGAAACGGGGGGGGGATTTAGGTTGGATATAAGGAAGCAGTGCTCAAGGCCAGGTTGGAGACAGGGGCTTGGAGCAAGCTGCTCCAGTGGAAGGTGTCCCTGCCCATGGCAAGGGTTGGAGCTGGAGGAGCTTTAGGTCCCTTCCACCCCAACCCATTCCGTGATGCCCTGGGCCATGCACGGGGGGGTTTTGCACCGATCCCATCACACCCGTGCCGCAGGATGGGTTCCGCGTCCTTACCGCGGTGGGGACCCAGTCCTGGCCGTAGACGAAGCAGAACTTGCAGTAGAGGTCATCGAACCCCGGGAACTGCGGGGAGAGGAGCAGAGGCTGCGCCGGGGCAGCGGGAGGGCCCGGGGGCCGCCCCAGGGCCGAGGGGGGCCGGCACCGCCGCCCCTAGGAGCCAGCCCCGGGCTGCGGATGGGGGGTCCCGGGGCTGTGGATGCGGGGTTACCGGACGCTCCCGCCGCTCACCCGCCCGCTCTCGATCTGCCCGGTCACCGACACCAGGAACACGCTGGGGCTGCCCGCGGCCGCCATGCCCGGGCCGTGCCTCCGCTGTTGCCATGGGTACGGACGGCGCGGCGGAGGGGCCACGCTTCCTCAGCGGCCGCGCTTCGCGGAGAGCCCAGGGCAGAACCTGCCTCTAAACGCCCCAAAACAGGAGTGAATCGCCCCAGAACAAGGATGAATCTCCCCAAAACGCGGGCAGACCCCGCTCCGCATCCGCCGGGACCAGCAGCATCCTCCCAATGCCACCGGCAGCCCCAGACCCCCATAATCCGCCCCACCACGGGCTGTGAGGCTCCCCGGCCGCTCTCCCTTCCCATCGCCTCCTGTTTTGATTTATCACAGTCCCCTATTGACCCACATCAACCCAAACAAACCCGGTTTAAAGCGCAGAGGGGGGACCGGGCCCTCAGCCCGCTGCAGGCACTAAGGACATGGCCACTAGGTGCTGCTGCCGGCCGGGCTGAGGCGGCTCACAGAGACCCAAGGAGCGTTTTCCAGGCAGGAAATCTTCGGGATCTTTGGGAATCGGAGCCTCTGCAGGGCCCCCTTGCGCCCTGCGCTGATGGGACGGGAGGGAGAGGCCGGTGGCGCTCCTTGCCTCGAGGGTACCATCGTATGGGTCATCCATTCACATCCTTGGCGCATCCCACACGATGCTCCCTCGTTGGGAGCGCGGCTCCGTGTCTCACCTCAGCGGGGGCGTCGCTGCCTGGGCTCCCCTGCGGTGCCGCGCAGTGATTTAGTTGCAGGTGTCTTTCGTTAAGGCAAAGGGACAGCCCCAAGGTGCCACACCAGCGTGGGTTCTATTGGGCTGAGGGTAAACTGCGTGATGAGAAACACCTTCCGTAGGCCAATAGATGGACTCTGTGTCAGTGCCTCCATTGCATTGTTCAGGTTCGATTTTCATTATATTCAGGGAAATTATTATTATTAATTAATGTTTATTAATTATTAACCATTAAATGTGAGAATCAGGAGCAATTCCTTCCCCAAAGGGTGCTCAGGCACTGGAACAGGAGCCACCATCCCTGCAAGTGTTCACACACCGTGGAGGCGAGGCCTCAGTGCCATGGGTTAGTGGTGGCCTTGGCAGTGCTGGGGCAATGGTTGGATTGGGTGATCTTAAAGCTCTTTTCCAACCTCATTGATTCCCTGATAAAACGCATCAGGACAAACCCAAACCCGTTGCCACTGAGCTGCCTGCTGCTGTTTAGTTAAGACGGGGCCATGTAAACGGCCATGAACCCATCTCATGGTGTCATTTGCCTGCAGTGACCAGGTTGTATTGAGCCTGACTCACCCCTGCTCGTGTCTCATCACGGTGAGAGGCTGCAGAGCTTCCCTGCCCTTTGTCTTAATGCTTTTTGCTTCTGTTCTCAGAGCTCTTCCTTCCCACCTCCTGCTCCAATGGAAGGAGGACGCTCCCATAGCATCGATGGTGCAGCAGAGGAGGATGTTCTTGGTGTAAGCCTTGCTGAATAGGCTCACACAGGAGTCAGTGTATTCCTGTATGCATTACTCCATGTGGTACTCCATATATATACACATGGAGGTTTGTTTTGGAGAGAAGGTAACTGGGTGAAGATGGGTGGGATGAGCTGTTGGGTTCTGTGGCTGGATGCTGTCAGCCACCTGGGCTGGGTCAGCCTGGAGGGGAGAAGGCTCCTCAAGGGGAGACCTTAGAGCAGCTCCAGTGCCTAAAGGGGCTACAGGAAACCTGGAGAGGGGCTTTGGACAAGGGCCTGTAGGGACAGGCCAAGGGGAATGGCTTGAACCTGCCCGAGGGGAGACTGAGCTGAGCTCTTAGGCAGAAGCTCTTCCCTGTGAGGGTGCTGCGGCGCTGGCACAGGGTGCCCAGAGAAGCTGTGGCTGCCCCATCCCTGGCAGTGCTCAAGGCCAGGTTGGACACAGGGGCTTGGAGCAAGCTGCTCCAGTGGAAGGTGTTCCTCCTCTCCCCCTTTTGGAAGCTGAGATGGCCCCAGCCATTAATACACAGCCTCGTATTTAAAGCTCTCCAGGGAGTGTTCAATGGATAAAGGCCATTTAATCCTTCAACCTAAGAAAGCCTGCCCAAATAGCAGGTGTTTATCAGTACCTGTATGATGCTGCAGCGATAACAGGTGATGACAGCACTGGGGATGCTGCACGTTTGCTTGGTTGGAGGCTTTCTTAATGCTTTCTTCTTTCTTTCTCCCCAGCCTGACAAAGGCAATTCCAGATGGATGCCATCTGAGATGTAACCTTGGACCAGAGAGCACCCAAATACAATAGTTAGGGTTGGAAAGGACCTTAAGATCATCCAGTTCCAACCCCCTGCCATGGGCAGGGACACCTCACACTAAACCATGGCACCCAAGCCTCAACCCAATGAAATAATACTGACTGGCATTCCCATTGCATGGACCTGGTGCTTTGTGCTTCGGAGCTTAAGCACCGCTTGCAGGCAGCCTGATGGAGACTGCTCCCCATGGGGGAGAGTCCATACAATACCAGTGTGTGCCCAGAAGGACACCGGGACGATCGCATCCCCTGTTAGGAGCCATCTCCTTTGTAAAGAGGGCAGTTGTTAAACCCAATACGTTTGGTGGAGTAGGAGCTCTGAGCAAACAGGGCGCAGGGAAGGGGTTTGTTATGTGGGAATAATCCCTGCTGAAGCCGGGTTTCCAGCCAAAGGAAGGACAACCCAATTGGAGGCAGGATCCTCTGCTCTCAGGAGCTCTTCTTGGCAAAGCTGTGCTTTATTGGGCTAAAGGGAAGCCCAAGTCAGAGCACTGAACCCCAGGCAGGAGCGTGAAGCACACGGGGGGGGTTGCAAAAAGGCTTTTCCTGCTCCTGGTTACAGTGTGTGGTGGCTTCGGGAGCTCTGGGGTTGGGCTGCTCTGGGAACTGTCCCTTTCCTGCCAAGCACAGGTAAAAGAACCAGGACTGGGCACACGGGATGCTCCTTTCCCAGCAAAGCTGAGTAATCCCAGCAGTAATCATTCCAATGCTGCTTCCTTCTCTCCTGAGGGACACACCAGGCGCTTCCAGGCAGGGTTAAGGCCAGCACAGGGGGATTCACCTCCCCTCCTTCCCATTCTGCTGCTTAAGCTGCAGCGGAAGGCATTTGCCATCATCCCCAGAGCATCATTAATGATTGTTTTATGGTGCTTTCCTGGAATTCCTCCTTATCCCACCAAGACTCAGTAATTATTTACACTACTCCCAAATGACTCTGAATTACAGCGGTGCAGGGGCTTGGAGCCATGAAGCCACTCCACATACAGAGGCTGTTGTATGAGGGAAGGGAGTCACTGTTGGAGCTGGGTGGGAGCATCAGCAGGAAGGGCCCAGTGCGGATCCAGGATGCTTGGGAAAGAGGTCTCAGGGAACGCCAGGCTCTGGAGGGGTGCAATGAGACCTTAGGGCTGGAGCAGGGCTCAGCCTCTGGCTACCCCCTGGCACAAAGTGAGGCCACGCTTCCAGTTTATACAGTTTAATACATGTGAAACAAGATACATTTCCTTTTGAGTAATGGATGCATAAATAACAGAAGATATATGTGGATGCATAAATATGAGGCATGGAATGAGCCAAACAAAACCCATTGCTTTCACTGCTTCAACAGTTACTGCTTTAACTGCTTGTTTCCCCCCTGTCTGTCTTCTCACCCAGCGCTGGTGGCGCGTCCTCGCATCAGGCTGGGTGCTGCTCCGATGGAACACGGCGATGCTGTCCCATGGTGAAAGGTTGGGATGAGGGTGAGGAGAGGGCAGGATCGGAGGCTAAAAGAGAACCCCCAACCCCCAGACTGCGAAACGAGAGAGAAGAAATGGAGTTAAAGGAGGCCTGGATTCCTCCGGAGGCTTCACTGGTGATGGGAGGTGGATGCGGCCATGGGGGTGAGGAGGGATGCTGGACAGAAGTCGTTCTGCTGCGAGGAGGACAAAGCATTAGCTTCAGTGCTCACAAAGACAGCGCTTTTACACCTTTACATCCCAGAGCAATAACTTACTGTGGACTGCAGTAAACAAAATGCATTTCTTAAATAAGTTACTATTTATTCATTTGGGGGGGGGTTAGCTCTCTGTAAATTTAACCTTTTCCTGGTTTTCCATAGGTTTTTTCCACAAGGACCCACGGCTGTGCACGTTAGTTCAGATTATTGCAACGTTTCACCTGAATTTCAGCTCGAAAAAGGAGGAGAAAAGAAGCAACAGGACGGATGTAGAGACGAGAATGAAGAGCTCATTATTGCACTGGCTACCATTCAGTAGTGGTTTGGTTTCTTTCTCCGTTACAAGGACGACTTCTAAAGTACAAAAGAACGTTTCAAGCAGCAGCTGTGCCGAGAAGCTGGTGGGATGATGGTGGAGGGAAGGAGAGGAAGGAAATGGAGGTGGATGAAGAAAGAAGAGAAACCAGTTGGAAAACGAATGGCCGTAATCATTAGTTCCACATAAACCCCAAGGAAACACCACCCGGCTGCAGAGTCACATGTAATGCAAAACCCAGTATCGTTTCTCTATAAAAATATGTGCATTGTGAAGAGACAGTTTTTGTGGGTATATATCTTCTTCTTTTTCTTTTTTTTGGTCTTTTTTTCCTGTTTTTCTCCTTGTTTTGTATCTCACAAATACATTATTTCTATGTATATAAGTGCTGATATACAGACAATGTACAGCTCCCACCCGGGCCCTCCCGCCTCACGGGACGTCTCTAAAAGGTGCCTTGTTAAAAGTTGAGCATCTTTAAAAAACCCCCCCACCCAAAACCAACCAGACCCCTAAGAGAACCCCCCAAATCCCCCTCCCACCACCTCGAACCCAAATCAATGTGATTGAGGCCACGGAGGCAACCTTCCCTTTAGAAAAGACCCCCCCCCAAACCACATTGCACCCCCCCCCCCAAACGCCCATCACCATCTCGTCCAGCCGTTTGTTTGGTTCCTTTTCTGCTGTTTTTCCTCTCTTTTTTCCCCCCTCTGTGTGTGTTATTTTCTACACCCCCCAGTGACTGTGAGGAAGGAGAGAACCCGAGCGAGCCGCTCCATCCCTTCGCTTTGGAACCCCGCATTGGTGTCAAGCCCTTGCGACCCCCCCCATTCCCCCCTCCCAGAAAG